GAGAGGGAGATAGGGGAGAGAGGACTGGTGATGAACCTGAGCCTCCAGATGATGTCGCGGTTGTGCTAGCCATCGCGGGTTCGGTGATGGAGGCACACGGGCAGCGACGGGTGAAGTAGAGGTTGCACGGACGTCGATCGATGCGGTCTTGTCGAAGGCGTAGCGATGGCGGCACGACGAGGATCGGAGCTTCCGTCGGCCGGCTGCGCGCCCTCTCGAGACCGGTTTAGGGTTTGTCGGTGGGGTTTGCGGCTCACGGCGAACCTCGTACATTGAGCCGCCCCCCCCACCTCTTTATATAGCGCGGTGCGACGGGGGCCCACCAACCATGTAGGGTTGGGCGCCCCCGATCAGGGCGCGAGACCAAGGCCCAATAGGCCGTTGGGCTTATTAGTCAGGAGATCAATCTAACACTGACTAGTAGTGCTCGGCCGTGCCGTTGCCGTCGACCTCCACCGAGGATCGAGCCGTGGTGCTGTCAGCCTTGGCAGATTGCTCTTTCGTCGCTCCGGTCGCAAGAAGCAGTGACCGCCTCGAGGGGATCAGGGTTCAGGGCAGCGAGAGGGAACGGAGAAAACGGGACTCAGGGCGGCAACATGTGCGACCGTAGTGCAGTGGAGGGCGCTGCCGGCGTGGACAACAAGGGCAAGGGCGAGGGCGAGGGCGAAGCCCGGGGCGTCGATTGGCCCGGCTTCTTCAGTGCCGTTCGGTTCAATGGGAACTCTGGCCTGAAACCATTCCTAGCCGGTTTGCTTTGATAGTTTATATAAGTTTTAATCATCTGGATTGATTCCTGGTGGAATCCTAAGTAACTGAACAAGGCCTCAGGGTACAAGCATGCATGCCCTCCTAGTCTGGGAATTGATCTTAGTCTGCAGTTCGAGGCATCATGGAATTATTATATTGATTGGGAAAAAGGGCCTATAGTCTCGGGCCCGTATTTGACCCAGTGCAAGTGGGGCGACAAGCACTAGGCCCCCCTTCGACTGGGCTTCCAGAGGCTAGTATGGGCCTTTTGGTTTTCGTTTTTTCCTGCTGCAGCCTGCCGGCCTGGTAGCTTTACGTGAGTTTTGCGTCGCATTTTGACCGGGAGTGTGGGATCGAAGCAAGAAGCCGCACCGCCGCCGCCTGTTCTTCTCGCGAATGCAGAGTGCGATTCAAAAATCCAGCAGGCGATCAGCATCCCAGGTACATGCCCTTTACTTTCTTAGTTAACTAGAAGAACGCTGCCCGCGTTGATACGGGAATCATCGGTAAAATTATACTACTTATATTTACTAATATATGAATGAATGAATAAATATCATTATTTTTAGCATTTGATGTGCATAACTTAATATATGTTAGTAAATGATGTGGTTTGCTAATATGAATAGCTTGAATGAAGACATAATAGCATGTGTTAGTTGGATGTGTTAGTGGATGCTGATGTGGGCATTTTTGCATGGAGTGATAGTTACATGTGCTAGTGGGATGTTCTAGTGGATGCTGATGTGAACACTTTGCATGGCCAAATAAATTGCTATTGGTATTTTTTCTTTATAAAAAGTATAGGATTAGTAACATCCGTCGCATGTTGTCTTTTTTTTTATTTGTTTTGTTGGGTTTTTATTCGTGAAACAGGGTACTCTATTTTTATATCATGTCTTGTAGAATTAGAAAATATGATTCCGGTCATGAAAAACGCAAAAAGAAAAAAAAAGACTTGAACCAGTGCAGATCATATCACAAATATGGCAGCTTGGTACGACACGCGTCTCAGATTTGATAAAAATCAAACCATTGATAAAGTTGCTCTGAGAGAACTTGAGAAAGAAAAGGATCATTGGAGGGAGGTTCTGTTCAGAATCATCTTGATTGTAAAATTCCTCGCAAAACATAACTTAGCATTTCGTGGCACTAATAACAAGCTATACCAAGATAGCAATGGGAATTTCTTAGGTATGGTTGAAACGATGGCTAAATTTGATCCGGTCATCCAGGAGCATATTAAACGGATAACAAATGATGAAACTCATGTACATTTCCTTGGTCATGGCATCCAGAATGAGTTCAATCTGCTTGCTGCTGCTATCAGGTATGAGATAATTAGAAAAGTAAAGGAAGCAAAGTATTTCATAATTAGAAAAGTAAAGGAAGCAAAGTATTTCTCAGTTATACTTGATTGTACCCCAGATATAAGCCACCAAGAACAAATGTCTTTGATCATTAGATATGTTGATACTTCTTCAGATTGAGGAATCATTCTTAGGTTTTTATGACATAAATGATACAACGGGGTAAGGATTGTTTGATGTTTTCCAGAATGAACTGAAGGATCTTGACCTTGATATTGACAATGTGAGAGGACAAGGATATGATAATGGATCAAATATGAAAGGGGAAAACAGGGTGCAAAAGAAACTTTTGGATATCAATCCTAGGGCCTTTTATTCTACTTGTGGTTGTCATAGTCTTAATTTGACACTATGTGATATGTCAAAAAGTTATGGTAAAGCAAAAGATTTATTTTGGAATAATTCAGCGTATCTATAGGGAACGACTCCTAGTCCAGTTGGAGAGGATGTCCGGCTCCCACCATGCCGATCTGGGTTCGAACCCCCACGGGGGCAATCTCGGGGTCAGAGGTTTAAAAAAAATCCCCTCGCCTGTTCCACGTTCCCAAAGCACAGGTAAACAGACCGGCCCACTCACCAGGTAACGGGCCCTTGTGTGCGGGTGGGATATGGGGTTCGGGGTTTTCTCGGGCTGAGATGAGAGTCCTCTACCTTAAGCAAAATAGCTCGGGGGTGTCTGCCCTCTCGCAGCCCGAGTTTTTTAATTCAGCGTATCTATACAATATTTGCTAAGTCCACTAAGAGATGGCAAATTTTGAAAGATAACATATCAGGTTTGACTCTCAAGGCATTGTCGTCTACTCGTTGGGAGAGTCGTGTTGATAGTGTTAAGGCTATAAGATTGCAAATGCAGGACATAAGAGAAGCTTTACTTCAAGAATTGATGGACACCTTTTCAACCAAAACATCTCTTTTAAATCTTTCAAGGGACAAAAGCTGCAATGTATATCTCATAAATGCTCATTAGTCACTAATTTGGATGTCATCGATACACCAAAACCCACAACGAGGAAAATGCACTTTCATCTCCTTTTTCCTCCTCATTTCTTTTTGAAATTAATTGGTGCATCCCATATAGTAATAAATGTGTCGGTGTTTTGTAAACGTAAACTTATACGATCGTCACGCTGCTCCAGGAAGACGACGGTAGCATCCAAAAGACACGAGGAGTTATACTGGTTCAGGCCGGAGCCCTACGTCCAGTCTTAGAGATGATCGAGTGCATGTTCCTCGTTTGAATGCTCTGAAGTTCTTACAATGGGGGGTGCAAGAATAGTGAAAGAGAGACTAGAGCCCATGGATGAACTGCCTAAAGGAAAGCTTCAGAAGTCCGACTACGGAGAATGAGGAGTGAATGTGTAGATTGTAGAGGATAGTCTGTAGATACCTTCGAAGGGTGTCCTGGCTGCCCTTATATAGAGTTCGGGGCCAGGGCACATACAGAGGAGATCCTAGCTAACTTGGCTTGCAAGTAACGCCGTCTTGAGGCGCACGTTCGGGCATGGCTGTCGTCATGGTCTTGTGCCCATATCGCGGCATGGTGTGGCATGGCCTATAGTGCCGTCCATGGCAGCACTGTTGGCACGATGGTGTTTCGCCAGCAGTCCTGTGCGACGTGGTCTTCGTTATTATCTTTTGATCTCCCGAGGTCGCCGTACCGGAGTTGGTAGCCACTCACAGGCTATCGTTCACCTTGTTGCTTTGTAAAGATGGCGGCCACAATCCCTTGCGTTGAGGTCGTGGCCTTCTCCGTTGTGGTTCCCATCCCGTGATGGGTGGATACGTACATGTGTCCCGTCGAGCCGTACGTGGACGGTGGATCACCGTACTGGCCATTACCGCTGGGCGGTGTTGTCTTTTCTCTACGTCGTGGTAGGGATGATGTCTGGCCGAACCGAGGTGACCGTTGTCTCCTTGGTTTTTGTGAGATCCGTGCGGCGCGCCTGCTCTTGTCAGAGTGGGCACGCTTGGTGGGACTCGATCCCTTCTCATGACTCCCAGAGGTCAAGACGGAGAGGTCGATGGCTGTTGCCTTGTTGCGTGGCTAAGGCGGAGGGAGAGGTCATGGCAGGCCTCGGTGCTGGCGTTTGGCCTTACCTTTGCAGTATATTTGGGCCTCGATTGTTTGGGCTTGTACTGGCTGGTGTACCCTGGCCTGCCAACTAATCGGTGCCTTGAGATACCCGGGATATCATGACCCCGACAAAATGCAGGTGTGATCTGAAACCCGTTTCCAAATTTGATTAGCCAGTGCTGTTAAAACATACTTGTTATTGCTAACGTTTGTCGCACAAAATAAAAACAGAGGAATCACAATAATACATTCAGATGGATACAAACCCAATGGAGTTCAAAGAGTTATACTGCACAGCAAAAGCAGATAGTCTCGCATCAAAATTGGACACTTAATAATATTTGTAACTAAGGGTCTGTTTGCTTTATAGGGCCCTGAAGCCATGCCATAATTTTTGGAGGCACCAACCAAACAGCCCTTAAATGTTCTTTTCCCAAGTACAGTAGTCAATCAACTAGTAGAAACATTAAATTGTTAATACACGTTTTCAGCATGTGCTGCGTATCCAAGGTTTGACAAAAAAAAAAAAAAGTGAGTAAAATAATAATAAGTAGGCAGAACCCCAAAATAAGAAATAATTAGGGTTTAATTAGTCTACCACACTAAACCAAAACCTAAGCAATAACATGCTAAATTGTGAAGCAAGACTACCTCAGCAGCTTACTGTAATGTAGAATCAAAACCTTGGAGGAAGGTCCTATTTTTAGCAGGGAGTGAAATGGAAGTGCAACTTCCAAAATACAGATACAGATTCTCTACACAGAAGTGCAACTTCCAAAATACAGATACAGATTCTCTACACAAAACATTTAACATAAAACATGTAAAATGGATGTTACAAAGAAGCGCACCTCCTTTTGTGACCGGTAATGTAAACTTGGCAAAGGCTGTAAGCAATAACTGCAAGAGCTCTCAGACAAACGCTCCCTGATCTTTGCATCCAAGTCTGCAAATGCAGCATCAAAATCCACAGCCTCCGAGTTAGACGAAGACGCTGCCATAGAAGAAATGTCCTCCACTGGGAGGCTGCATTTTGGCCGGTCAAACAAAATTAGACCATCGATTGATTTCAATGGCGCTGTAAGCAACTGCAGTTCCCCTGTAGGTTCCTCTCTTAGAAGCGAAGTTGCCATCCTCAGGCCACGGTGCACAGACCCAGCCGCGAGGTAATTGATGATGCCCCAAGTGTCCAAGAACCTAACAATCCTACTCAGATCATACAGTTCAGCTGTGCTCCCAACAAGCCCCTGGCACTCAGCAAAAGCAAGCCTCTTGCTTGGGTTCTCTAAGTATTTGGCAATGACTTTATTCCTTAACATGACATACTTCTCCGGAGTGTGCCCTGGAGACTTGCCAGTAAAGAAGTGTGGCACTACCTGCCTTTCCAGCCTATGAACTGTCCCCGGGGAGAACCAATCTACAAATTACAAAGCAAAATGCATAGTTTACTTAAATTAGCGCATTTTTCCAGCACAGCTCAGTGATCCGTGTTTACGCAGAGAGCAAACCTGAGTGCTTGGGCACCACATGGAGGCGACCCTGGAACTGCTTGGGCACCCCATGCCCCTCCATGAGGGGAGGCGGCGTGCACACATACAAGGACGGCTTGTCGGGGTCTGTACCAAGGGACGGGTGGTCCGGAAGCACCCCGGACAGCACCTGCAGCTGCCCGTGCGAGATGTTCTCTAGCGCCGGCGGTGCCACGGTCGGGACATCGCCGGAAGAAGCGGATCGCTCGGCCTCGAGCAGCGCGAGGACGGACGGATACGGCCGGTTGACCACGCGGCGCTTGGCGGCGGGGAACGCAGAGATGGCCTCGGCCGAGGGCAGCACCTCGGCCTCGAGGAGGGCGAGCGCGGGGTCTTCGGACGCCGCGGGAGCATCGTCGTCGTCGCCGGCTGCCCCGTCCCCCGCCGCGCCGTGGACGGCGGCGTCCTCGTCGGCGGAGTCGGAGTCGGAGGAGTGGTCGGCCGCGGCGGCGGCGGCCGAGGTGGAGGGCTTGGACGGGGACGCGTCCGGGTTGCGCTTCCGCTTGCGCCATTTGAGGCGCGAATCTGGGAGTTAGGGTTACCGAGGCGGAGGCAAGCGTTAGGTCCGGCGGTAGAGAGTTCAAAAGGTTTCGAGAGGGGACTGGACGCACGGACCTGAGGTCGACGAGGCCTTACGAGGCATCGTCGGCGGCGGGGACGACGGCGGCGGAGGACGACGAGGCGCGCGAGCGTGACGGGGGGCGTGGTCGGAAGTCGGAACGAGTCGACGGGGAAGGAGGAGGGGAAGCACGTGCCAGGGAGGCTGCTCTGCTCCCAGCGACGACTGGGCCTGGACGGGCATCGCCTAAACATTCGTCGCACTCGCACGCACCCAACGTTCCATTTTGCGGCCCAGTGGGCTTAATTGGTTAGAAATGGCCCAAGCTCGTGCGTGGGATAAAACCGAAGCTGGCCTGCTCCTATTATTCATGCACACTGACGCGTTGTGGGCTTGTGGCCTTCTGTGAACTGTTAGAACAAGAACTAGACATGTGGGTGCAAATTACCCCCAACATCTTTTAATATGCTCTGTGTATAGTTGTAGGTCTAAATATGTGCGTTAGGTGTGAGTGCATGCGTGTGTGTGTTGGGGGGTGCATGTGTTCGTACATATTCAGAGGTGTACCTAGTTAAGAGGCCTAAAAAAACTTTTAATCTGCTCTGTCGGAAAACTTGTTAACTTGGTGCATAGTCGGTCAAAAAACTAATCTCTCGCATGCTTGGCAGTTTAGGCTACGATCAGACTCGTATTGTCACGTACTCCCTCCATCCTAAATTGTAAGTCATTCCAAGAATCTTGGAGAGTCAAAGTTTCTCAAGTTTGACCAAAATTATAAAAAAAAATTACAAAGATTTATGACATCAAATAGGTATACTATAAAAATATAATTAACAAAGAATCTATTGGTACTTAGTTGGTATCATAAATGTTATTATCTTATTATATAAACTTGGTCAAACTTGAAATGCTTTGACTCTCCAAGATTTTTAGAATGACTTATAATTTGGAATGGAGGGAGTATATGGCTTGTGCAGCTCGCGGCTCGTAGGTACATGGATCGTGCATATAGCAGCTCGCAGCTCTCGCAGGTTGGACGTACACGGCTCGTGCATATAGTAGCTCGCAGCTCGGACATACAAGACTCGTGTGATGGGGACGAGCTCGTCGATCGACGTCGGCATCGGTGACCCACACGAGGCTTGGAGATCCCTCTGCAGCTTTCTTCCCCAAGGTCTCAACCTCACAAGTAGCTGCAGGTCTGCTCTCTTCCCTACGTGTCTAGCAGTAGAGTAAGTTGTAGCATTTTTTAGACACGGTCCAACATTTTCCAGACATGGTAGGTTATTATTATATTTGGACACGGATGACACCGTTTGACAAAACTTGCTGAGACCACCTTGAAAATTGAGGGGTTGATATGACACTGTCGGCCAAGTTTAGGGACCTGCGGTGATCATTTTGAAAGTTCAGAGACTTGGATGATACCATCTGCCAAGTTTAGGGACCCACAGATATCATTTTAGAAGTTCAGGGACCTGGATGACAGCGCCGGCCAAGCTCAGAGACCGGCGGTGAATTTTGCTCTTTCTTCTTTGGATAATTTGAATCACTTTAATTGATTTGAATCAGAAATAAGATCAGCCCTATATTACCTCAAAAGAAAAATCGCCACCGTCCCTCGTCAAATCGGGTCTCTCATGACACTTTGTGTGTGAGACCATGAGTTATAGATAACTTGGCCCGATAAGATTCTGTGTATAAGTGAAGTCTTGATTACTACTCCATCCATTCAAAATTATAAGTCATTTCAATTTTCTTAAAGAGTCAAAGTAGCATCTTAAGTTTGACCAATTTTATATAAATAAAATAATGACATTTATGATACTAAATAAGTATCATTAGATTCTTCATTAATTATATTTTCATAATATATCTATTTGATGTCATAAATCTGTGTAATTCTTTCTATAATTTTGGTCATACTTAAGATGCTTTGACTCTACAAGAAAATTAGAATGACTTATAATTTAGAATAGATGGACTACAAGACTATATACAAGAAAAGAAAAAATAACCTTCCTATGTTTGAATGCAAAATATTTTTAGATTTTTAAAAAGATACCTTGGTTTTCTAAAATACTTTGGTATGATTTCAGAGCGTTATGTAATGTTTGGATGCAATAATTTTTATGGTTTTGAAAACCATAATACTACAACATCTTTTAGGGTCTACATCTTTGTTGACATGCCTATTCTATAGCTGCAATTCACTCCTACATGCGAAATGCTATATATATATATATATATATATATATATATATATATATATATATATATATATATATATATATATATATATATATATATATATATATATATACATGTAACCTTCCACCTAACTGATTTTCAATTTTATGGTTTATATAGTGGTTGTTTTATAAACATATGCATGTGGGCTCAAACACTCATAGAGAAGTAGAGAACGGTATACGCGCCCATGATATTCGAGATTGGTTAACTGATGCGATCGAATAAAATAGTTTTGAGACCATGGGGGTGGATTGGTGTCTTCAACTACTACTGCAGCCTACTATATATAGAGTAATAGCTAGTGGTTAGTCAAGTTAGCGTCAACAAACTTGCCTTTTATACGCTATTGATTGGTGTCAACTAATGCAAATTTCTGCAGGAGCATATTACGTGGCATATAGAAACATCATTAACCAAACTTCAGTTAGGTCGTAGGATCTTTTATAGATAGAACCTACACCTACCTGACATCGAGCATTCGCTATTCATATTTATGACTACTTTTTTTATTTAATTAGTGGCAACCAACATATATTCTAAATAATAAGATATTTTAGTTTTTAGATATATATAATTTTTTACTATGCACTTAGATATAAACTATGATCAGATACATAGTAAAAATAATATATAGAAAAGTCAAAATGTCTAATAATTTGAAACATATGGAAATATCAGTTTATAATGTTTTCCCAAATAAGCCTAAGATCATCCACCAGCCATCCAGTGAGTGAAAGGTACATCATTTAAATCAAGCTTCATATGGTGTACAGTCATATCAAGTTGTTCACAGAGCTTAAGGGCATGTATGGTTCCACGGACTACACAGTAGTCCCCATTTTAGTCTCATTTAGTCCCTAAATTGCCAAATATGGGGACTAAAGAGAGGCTAAAATGATTTAGTCCTATAGTCCCTTGAGGGGTGGGTATTTGAGACTACAAGCCCAAAAGGATAGCCCATGCCTCCCCTCTCTCTCCTCCTCCCTCGGCATGACTCATGAGATCCAGCGTCGTGGCTCTCTCTCCTCCCCTGCAGGCGCCCACCAGCCACGCCAGCCTCAATGGTCTGCACGCCCAACAAGAGCCTCCTTCTCCGCCGCCCGCAAGATCCCTCGCTCACTTTGAAAGGAGTCTCACCATGAGATCAAAGCACAACAGAGCAAATATGGTACGAGCATGGGCGCAAGCCGCTGGAGGCGGACAGGGACAAAGCAAGGAAGGAGCCATCGGGGATGGGGAAGGAGGAGTTGGACTAGAGACGTTTTGGTCTTTGTTTATCAACTTTAATGACTTTTAGTCTCTTGAACCAAACAGACCCTAAAAAGATCAGAAAAAAGATTGCAGAGGGGTTTGTCATAAATCCAGGCATCCATCAAAGGGTTGTCTTGCCATCTCTGAATTTCGCTTGCCTACCCTGGAGTTATATGTCTCTAATTTTCAGGAGGCCTGACGACATGGCTGAATCAGTTTGCGTGTGACTCACAACACAAATAGATTTGCCATTAAGATATTTGACGTGAATGATTTGTTGCCAAAGCCCATCCTCATTATCTAGCTTCCACCACCACTTGCAGAGCAAGCTAATGTTCATTTTCCTAATATCCTTAATACCAAGCCCACCTTTTTTCTTATGTTTACAAATTTTTGTCCATTTGATCAGATAATATTTCTTCCTAGTACCCGCTCCCTACCAGAAGAAACATCTTCTAATTTTGTCCAATCTAGAAACAATGGTTTTAGGTAGAAGGTAAATGGACATATGGTATATGGGAGCATTGTTTAAGCTGGAATTAATCAAAGTTGATCTACCAGCTACGGACATAGTCCCACCTTTCCATGTGTCTTGGCACTTTTCTCAACTAAAAATTTGCTTTGTCCATAACTAATTAGCTCCTCTATTTATTTACTACAGCAACCATCCTGGCTTCTGGTGCCCACCACTGAAACACATGTCTCTTCCCGCCTATAAATACATGGTCTGTTTCTCTGTAGGATCTCAAAGCTACCGGTACTACTCCACTACCTAACGTCCAGCAAGTAGCCTTTAACCCTGCGAGGCACAGTACATCTCATCAGAGAAACTCACAGATAGACCGATACGGACCACACTGCCTGCACATTCGAAGATGATAGGTGAACTGGATTCAGATGTTGTTGTACGCTACTTCAGAGGCAAGAGCATCCTGATCACTGGTTCAACTGGCTTCCTGGGGAAAGGTACGGTACCTCTTCATGCATGAACTCGTCCAGCTAGTACTCCTTAATTTCAGTGTGTGCACGCAGTGTGTCTGCACAATGCATGCATGGCTGATCATCTCAGTGGGGATGCTTGCTTGCTGCCTTTTGGTCTCTTCGTAGTTCTTGTGGAGAAGATACTGAGGGTTCAGCCGGATGTCAAGAAGCTCTTCCTCCTTATTCGAGCCGCCGATGTCGAGTCTGCAAAGCAGAGGATTGAGAATAAGGTGAACACAAAATATTTCTCTATTCTTCCTTCCATCTTAGTTTCTGAAGTTGTATCCAATGGCCCACTCTGAACTTTTTCCATCACATGCACATATGTTTCTGGAAACCATTTCTACATAAAAAAAAAGGCAGACCGAGTGCCGGAGGCTCCCACAAACCATTTCTACATAAAAGAACAGAACAATCATTTTTTCCGAAGTGTCGTCAAGAGCTTTGCTGAAATATATTAGTAGGAGAAATAAAAATTATACAGAAAAGTTACATACCCCAAGCAAAAAAAAAAAAAAGACAACCAACAACAGACCACTATCATGGAAAAAACTTGCTCCGACAACAGAGGAAAATTGTGTATGAATCTTTTAAGTATG